TAGTAAGGCACTTGTTCTTAATAGCTTCTTGTTACTACTAGTAAGGCACTTGTTCCTAATAGCTTCTTGTTACTACTAGTAAGGCACTTGTTACTACTAGCGTTGCACTTGTTTCTAATGGCTTCTTGTTACTAGTAATCATGTCCTTGTTACTAGTAGCGATGCACTTGCTAAGTTGATCCAGCACGATTGCAAATCTGTTCAGCCTTCTGTCGATCAATCACCTGGGAGAGATATTGACTCATTGGAAGGCTTCGACCCCTTCCGATTGGAGACGAAATCACTCAGCACGTCTTCTCTCTAGTTCAGCCGAAGAAGTTCCATCTCCTCCCACCGGGGCACGGCATATCGCACGGTCCCCTGGAAGTGAACCCTGTTCTCGGAGATGATGCTCAAGCGTCCCTGAAGGACGGAGCCGGCTTTCGCCGGAACCGCGCAACGCGCCAAGCCGAGTCGGTGCCCGTGTCAGCCGAAGTGCTGTTCGCTCTAAGTGCTGTCATCACAGATTACCAGTACAGCGGCTAGGGCCTGGGTCAGCCTCATTTCCCACGAAAAAGGGACTGATTGTTGTGCTGCTTCTGAAGACCCCACACAATGATGATGATTCTTCACAGGCCGTTTTGCCGCTTTTGGTTCCATCAAGCTCTTCAATCGTGTTGCATCGATATTCCCAACCCATGCAGAACTGCCCGAAACCGCCGTCGGAATCGTCGGACGAACGCGACCAAGACAAAAAGACCGCTCCTTGTTGTATCGCTTGGTGAAGCTTCGTGCATCTGGTGAGAGGACGCCCATGCTGGAGTTCTTCTGGTGAAAGCGGTGCGCGCAGCCAAAGGCAGGGCCTGAGGGCGCGCCAACGCCGCCTCGCCAGCTGGGTGGAGCACCCGACTGAACAGACTTCACTTGGAGGAATTCAACACTCTCCTGTCCAGTGGGAGGGACTTCTCAAAGACACCAGTTGCTGCTTAGATAAAGTTTACACAGAACTTAAGAGGTCAATAAGCTTGTGACCTCAAATAAGCACCCGTTCGCAGCGAAAGCAAAGCGCGTCACCGCGTAATTGAACCAACGGCCTGGTGTGAAGGTGGGCACCTCACACCGAGGGCGCGCTGTGTCGTGTGTTGTGCGGGAAGGATCCAAGAATGGATGAAGGGACGACACGAATGGCCACCGAAGTTATTCACGGATCGAAGAGGGTTCACCAGCTGGATGACCAAGGATCAGGACCTGCGACCTCTGTTCAAAGAACGGTGACACATGATCAAGCAGCCTCAATGGCCTTAACTCTCCGATGTTCTTTTGACAATTTGAAGGGGTGTTGTTGTGAAAATGTTCGTCGACCGAATGCTGGTCACACTTCAGATCTGGAACTTCCCTCTGGCACGTTCGATTGATGGTCACCAGAAGTTTTATCACCCAAAGAATCAAATGCATGCAATTGTTCTGCAAACTCAAGAAATTGACATTCTAAATTGGATGGCACCATGGAGCAAGGACCTCAATTCGGCAATTGAATTTGATGCCAAACCTCATCAAAACAAAACGTTTGAAATATATAGACCTCACGTGAGTCAAGCGCAACAAATGAAACCCAGCACAATGAGGTTGAGCCTTGACTACAGTTGTGCCACTCAATCATAAAAGGTCTGTGCATCATACCAATCATAATCAGTAAGTCAGTGCAGAAATGGACTCATTATACAAGTAAAATACTGTTAAAAAAAGGTGCCAAGCGCAGAAAATCACACGAACATCGCGAAACAGTTCGGTGAGAAATGGGGAAAAATCGGTCGCTCAACAGGTGAATATGAAGAAAATCGGGCGCTCAACGGGGATAGGTCGCTCAACCATCGTGGGTTCACCAAGTTCACCGAGTATATAGGAAAAAGAACTAAAACGATAGGAACAAAGGCTTCTTGAGAGGTCCATTCTCTCCAAACATGTCTGAAATGGACACGTTCGGTGATGTTCGACTTTGATAAGCCCTGGCCCGCCCCGCCGCATCCCCCGCAGGTCGCAAGTTTGGCGTTGGGCGAGGGCACCGGTGGCATCTGAGGCATCCTAAACCCAAACAAGGCAGAGTAGCTCCGGAGGCCAAGGTATGGTGGATGAATGGTTCATCAATGTCCTGAGAAGAAATCTGTCACAAGTCCGTATGGATTGCTTATTTGTGGGGGGGGTCTGGGATTTGACACATCCCCTTAGGAACAAGGTACATCAAAAACACAATGTGGCAGTGGCACAGCCATGACTGTGTTGCAAGGTTGAGAGACTGGCAAACTATGGGGAACCTCATGATGACCTCATGGAGTATGTACTTCTTCCACTTGTTGTCCAAAACAGCACCAGCTCTTGTGCTCTCGAACACACTGAAAAATAGCAGGCTGCCTGGGAGCAAAGAGCTCTCGAACTCCTAGGTCCTCAAGCTGACAGCAATCCATCCCTTGATGTCCATGAATGGAAAACATTCGATGAGACCGAGGCATCTAAGGAATCTAGCAATCTAAGGCCTAAGGCCATCCATGCACCATACCCAAAAACACGGGTGATCCCGAGTGCCCCATGGAGCTCTTATTCAGTCCAGGGGCGACATCACGACGGGCAAAATTCCCATGCCCATGGGCATTTGAGGCATCGGAACTGGCACCATCACTGGAGGCTGAGGTGCCTTCATTGGTCAGGCATGGCAGAAGGATGCAGAAGGGAGTACCCTGAAAGAGGGGAGCCTAGCACTACGGAACACAACCATGTTAGGGGGAGAAAATGCGCTCCAAATGGTTTTGTAGTGCAATCAAACACAGGGAACGTCCACAAGCCTGAGTTCTTCAACGAAAAGCAACTCAGTCATAACTCGTCGAAGCCCCGAATCAAACAAGAAACAAAGAAACGATCGGGATCAGCCATGAGGACGTCATGCGCCAGCCACCTGCATTGGCATCACAGCCACCTGCTGTTGCAGTTGCATGTGTGGGGGCAACGGCAAGGGCACTGGGGACATCTGCACTGGCATATGCGAAGTGATCGGCAGCTGCTGCGAAGGCGGCAGTGGTGGGTGCAGCGACCTGGATAGGATTTCTGAGTTCATCCATGCCATCTTGAGTGGACAACCTTTGGTCTGGCGGGCGTTGGCTACGATGTAAACAAATCACTGGTTGGGTCCCAGGTTCAACCGTAGTGAATTAATTTCGAACCATCCCGTGTCCTTTACAACACACCAGCAGTTCCAGGCAAACTGTAAGGAGTGAGGGATTAAAAGGAATTAAAAGGAAATCGGCATCAATTATTCCAATAGGATCAAAGGAAGGAAAAGGCAGGATTACTGTTAAAACAAAATGCTCCCAGCGCGCTTTCGTATTAGGCACGGCATTAATATGCATCAATGCTGTGCAGGCGCAACATGTTGTGAACCTCTAAGCGCAGAGAGCGTGTGAAGAGTAGTCTTTGTGAGTCTCAAGTTGCAGATTCTGTGTCAAGTGAAATATTTGGTGCACACGCGCTCGCACTCATGCCCTATCGTATGTGTGGGCTCTCAAATACATGTGTGTGTGCGGGGGTTTATATATATATATATATAAATACACATGTACAATAGATTCAAATCAAATGGCGCAGAAAAACTTCAAAAAATGTGGAGGGATAGGTTCTGTCACGCCGATAGGGGTTCAAAAGAAGATGGAGGAGAGGACATAGCACAAATACATAGATGCGCCATCTATTATGTGGAGGGAGATTGACGGTTTTGTTTGGCAATCTTCTGGATGCGGTGCCATCTACCAGCGCGCTGAAACAATATGGAACAAAGAGAAGGGAGGCGAGAGAAGGGAGAGCGAGAAAAAAAGAGAGAGAGAGAGAGGGAGGGGGGAGGGGAAGCAACAGAAAGAAAAAAGAAAGTGAAGTGCCAGGGGCAGAGAAGAGAGAAGAGGAGAGAAAAGAGAAAAAAAAGGAGAGAAGGGAAGGGAAACGGGAGAAGGGAGCAGAGAGAAGAGAGAAGAGAAAGAGACAAAAGAAGGGAAGAGGAAGAGGGAAGAGGAGGGGAGGCAAAGAACAGGGAGTGGAGGGAGAGGAGGAGAGACGAAGGAGAAACAGCCAGTAGGGCGAGTGAGAGGGGATTGGGCGGGACCGCAGCTGTGTACAGTAGATGGGAGGAGGGAAAGGAGGAGAGCAGAGAGCAGGTATAGAGTGCAGAGGTAGGAAGAGAGGAAAGATGGAGAAGTGAACAAAGCAGAGAGGGTTCAGAACCACCGGCTTTTGCATGCAGTGGTGTCTCTCTTGCGCCATCTACTGAAGCACTGTTGCTGGCTAATTTGGGCAGCCTAGATTTTCCTCATGCGCTGTCTACCGTAGCTGCGAATGGCCAAATTTGGGGGGGTCCAGGGGGTGTGAGGTGTGACGCAGCGGAGCGCTATGTGCAAGTCCCCGCGGGGGCGTATAGATGGCGCGCAAACATGCAAAAGCAACATATCTCAACGCCATCTGTTTTAAAATTTCTGTGTGCGTGCTCTCTGCGTGAGTGCTCTCATTTGAATGCTGTGCTGACATGAAAGATGACAGGAAAAAGCTTTACAAGAACAAGTAGCAGAGACAATGCAACCAGACCAGAGAAACCAAACAGTAAATGCAAAGAAGAACCAGATTTGACAAGGATCCTTTTCGCAGGAGGCATACAGTGGGTAAAGAATGTGTTTTTTGGCAGGTGATGCTCTAGAAGTAGTGCAGATTTCGTGGTGCTGGAGGGGCGTTTTAGGAGGAGGGCACAGCGCCTCACCCCCAGAGCGAGTCGAAGACATGATTGATGATGCCCATGGCACGGGCACTAGCCTAGACTATTCATTGATCCAATGGACTACAATAGAAGGAGCAAACAACCCGGAAGTAACAACGAGAAGTCGAGGGGAAGAGGACCAAAGAAGAAGACCACCAGACCAGGGGACCCGGGGAATTTGTTGGAATCTGTATATCCGATTCCTGTTTAATCTACATGCCACTGTATGAGTTTGAACCTAAGGTGGGGAGAGCTGAAGCAGGTTGCTGGCCGCTATCTCCATGATCTGAGCCGCCAACAACAACGGCTGCTCCTCCTGCACTTGCGAAGCCTGCGAAGCCTGCGCAAACCGGTCGATCCTCTTTTCGATCCCCTGGGCACCACCCCTCCCACACACCTCATACATAGACTGTCTGTGCGTCTTTTGAGCGATGGAAGCAAGTCATGAGACTGAAACCTAGCAGTACAAGTACAACATAGTGATTCACATCAAGGAAAAGATCTATACTATAGACTATAGTCTATATTATACAGATTTACAATCGTCTAAACACCAACACATCCGCCTGCACTCTAAAAGGAAAACACCTGTGGCAACGCAAAAAGTTATTGAACCCACAAACCCGAATGCAACATACTTACAAAAACTAGTGGTCACACTCTTGTAGGACGCCATTGTGCAAGGCTCTTGTACGACCCTTCTCTGTGACGCTCTTGTGGAACATTCTTGCGTGACTCTCTTGTCGGACACTGTTGCATATAGGACATTGCTGTAGTCCCTCTTGTAGGACACTCTTGTACGTGGCCTGCTTTGTAGGACACTTCTAAATGAAACTAATTATAGGACGCTCTTGCCATACTCCCGCAACACGTGTCTCATTTCCTCTTGTGTAGCACTGTATCACTCTTGTGTGACATGTTTCCAGGATACTCTTGTGGGACACTTTTGCGAGGCACCCGTGTAAAGCTCCCAAGCAAGAGAGGCTCTTGTTGAACTCTCTTGCGCGACACTTTTCTGATACATTCTTGTGACACTCCTATGCGACACTCTTGATTGGCACTCGGTCACTCTTGCGCTTGATAGTCATGCCTGACACTCTTCTAGGACACTGTCATAGAGCGCTCTTGCTCGACACAGTGCTAGCCGCCGCACCCCCATCCACAAGCGAAACGACCGTTTGTGCCTTCAGCAATGCATTTCGTGCGAGACGTCTTCCAAAGTGAGGCGGTTCCCAACCCAAGCATTAAGCACTTCCGGAAAAAAAACGGCGCAACAGAACGCGCATCTTCACCTCACACTTCCTCTGCCGCTGCGAAGATTGGTTTACAACTCCAAGATGCACAAAGCACAATTCCACGTCTTCGTGCACACAGCAAAACTTACAGATCATAGTACACTTTCCACATCTGTCCACTTTCCAACATCAATGTGCATCTTCACTCAAAAGCACCAACCACAGATCTCACGAAACGCCACAGACCTCATGGTACCTTCACACCGATGTGCACCCGTCCTCTCGAGGCGTTTCCAACGCCCACGTCCGATCCACCCGGAGACCCGGAACCCTCCCCCCGAGCCTCGGGCTCAGTCTCGCTGGTCTGGGATGGGAGGGGAGGAACACCGTTCCAGAACCGCAGACACGTCCGGGGCGGTTTGGCACGTCCGGGGTCTGATGCTCAACGTTCCAGGAGCCAAAACGAGGCAAGAAGACTGCAAAAGCCTGGCCTGTGTGCTATCCGATTTGAGATGCTCTGGAGTATGTGGAGTGGCCCAGGATGTACCAAAAGGTGAATTGACCACAGACTGAATGAAGCGAACCAACCTGTCAGTCTCAAGGTATGTGCGCAATACCAAATGTCTTGGGTTCAAACTAGAAACTGTAAGTTAAAGTTGGTATTTTTCTACAATGTGTCCATGCCTGATGGCCCTGGTTTGAGAGAAACCCTTCAAGGAGTGTCCCGACCCATCCCGAACCTTGCCGCTGCCGACTCCGGTGGGCGAAGACTCCTGTGGGCTTCCCCGAACACACCAAAGGACATATATCACAAATATCATTGGGCATGTCGGACATGGGTGCAATTCAAACCTATTGAAAACCATTGAAAACCTTTTGCAAGTCCATACTGTTTCATATTCCGTGGAACCATCTCCGTGCGGTCTTCAAGAGTTCGAAAACGACCCGTTTCAAGCGGCTTCCCTGCTCCTCTTGTAGCGGGGGAAGCGTCGAATCTGCCTCTGTGGCTGTGGTGCTCCATGACCTCCACTCAAAAACTGAGAGAAGTGGATCAGCAAGTTCCAGGGACACAAGGTGAACCATCAAATACACTAGCACTAGCACACTAAGATTCGCTAAGGCAGTACACTCGTAGGACTGAGTCAGGAAGCTTCAGGTGTTCAAATTAGCTGAAAGGAATGATGATTTGAAAATTAGGTCTGATCCTCCTTTACAGTTTAATTGGAGTCAGCCACTGGGGCTATACGGGAGACAAGTCGGAGACAAGACTGAGTACACCCACCGCCCAAAACTGTGGCTAAGGTTCAAAGTCTAAAGAGTGAAATTAAAGCTGGTGGCTGAGGTTTAGTTCTGAATCAAAGTAAGAAAATGTAAGAAACGTAGTCCACGCGCCATTCCATCCGAATCGCTCCAGACACTGCAGTAAAGCCACCACTTGTCGAATGCAGTGCTGTTGGTCCGCGGGTGAAGCTGCTTCTCCCCGGCCATCTTGTTGAACAAAAGGTCTGAGACTGGGGACCTGGGTCTGAAGCTCAGTTCAGCAACTGGTGAACAAAAAGGCAGAAATGGCCCAACCAACATGGAATAGCACAGCTGTCCTCGGCTGTCCTCGGACCTAGGGCCCTAGGGATGCAATGAGTATGATTTCTGGCATCGTCCTCACCCTCGAAAATCTCACCGAAAACTCAAATCGCAAGAGTTCTTTCAATGTAATTGTCATTCTCATCGATCAGCACTGACGTCATCCTCCAGTTTTCCCGCTTCTTGGCTTCTTTTTCTTTTCAAAAGCGCGACGCACACCCCACCGCTTTTCGCGGAAAGTGGGGTCATCCCCGAGACGATCCGATCGGAACCGACAGACGCGCTCCGCGCGTTATTCCGCCCAGCGGCAAATCGCCCTGAAGGCCCAGGGGATCCCAAAGAAGCCCTCGCGATGTCCCGATCAGTCGGAAGAAGACAGTGACCGACATGTCCGACGGGAACGGGGTGCGGAAACCAGGGAAATGAACACCGTTTCCCCTGGTATCTGGATCGGAAAACCATGCAAAACAGACTTTACTCCTGATTGCTCATAAGGCCGTCATCCTTTGTGGTCTACAGTCTGCATGTCAGGCAAGCCGACCATGAAATCTTAAAATCATCGGAAAATGGAACCTGCTCCAACTCCAGCACCCGCCCGCCTTGCGTCGCTGGCACGCCCAGTCCCTGGAAGAAACGAGCTTTCAAAGACACCCAAGAGAGTGTTCAATCATGTTCAATCACCGTTCCGGCAAGCACACTTCAGTCCGTTTCTTTTGCTAGCTGATCGATGGAGCAAAAATCAATGAACATCACCGATCGATGGATCGCTGCAAATCCGACTTGACCCCGTTTCCCGGGCCCGAACCGGCCTGAATCTTAGGCTCCCAGCTGGGGAAGTTCTCCTTGCCCAAGCTGAGAGTATCACGATACCCAACCATAGCGGGTGCAAAGCACAACCGAGAGAATTCATGTATGCCGCATGCCCTCCAAATCTTCAAAGCGAAATCATCAGCTGGCCAGAATTGCCGAATAGCCTGCTGGATGTAGTGGACCTGTACGCATGATCGACCCTGAGAGGTATGTCCATGGCGGGGAGTTCCTTGGTTCAAACAACAAAGAACGCTCTTAGCTCTGGCCTCAGTCCTCGGCTTCAAAAAGAGGTGAGTATCTAGGACACAAAGGTCAAAGCTTATGTCCGCCATCCCCGCAGGCTTTTGGATGACAAACCCATTGGAGCAAAGCGATCTCCCCTTCAGACCCACTCGTCCTCGTCATCAGTCAGCAAATCAGCCCAAACCTCTTGGCCCTTCCTCCTGAAACAAATCCATACTCCAAACACACCGGCACCACGGCAGTGCAAGTAGCTACTAGTAACAAGAAGCTACGGGGGCTTCTGGCATCGCTACTAGGAGCAAGGACGCTACTAGGGGCTCCTGGCAT